TCTTCTCTCAACAATACGCACATACAACATAGCCCAGTCAGTAACATGTAACCTCATGAAAAGTGAGTTATTTCATGAAATACGCTCATTTGCACCGGGTTCTTCGAAGCCCAGGCAATTGATATGTTGCCCTGGCCAGCATTCAAATCTAATGGTAATCTCGCCAGGAAATCGAACAATTTAGCCCCGATCTAATCATTGACGTATAAAGTAAACCTGTTAACTGCATACAAGGGTGTTACCAAACTCTGATCATAATGTTTAGGAGCATGAAGATGAAGCCACATACTTCAATTGCATCAATGTTGAATTTTTCTTTCATCTGTGCGTTTTCTTTCATAATTGCTGTGGCGAGTTTCAGAATGGAATCTTCGTTGTTCCAGGCGTTTGCACGGCTTCTCTCGTACACCTTTCGTTTATTCAACACCTCATCCCCGTTTATGTTAATGAGTTGAGCGGCGAATTTTCTATCTTCAGGAGATGAGGCTGTTTCAGCGTAGCAAATAGCTTCATCTGTTCCCCCTGTGCCATAGGAGAAAGAAAATACGGAAACAAACAATCAACGAGAAAAGCGAATGAAAGAAAACTATGAAGACGTTAGCCATTAACATCTATCCTATACCTCAAACCTTTAAGACACAATGCCGTACTGCTCTAAATTGAGAGCATTGAAATGGAATAACACATTTTTAACAATTTTTTCCATTTTTATGCAAAAACATACTTTCATTTTAGCAAATACTGAGACACAAAACCTTTGCAATGTTAAACTTACTTATTTCACCAGTGGGCCTGGCCCAACCTGGTCAATAGGTACAGCGGAAATCACTGACATTATTATGACAGCATATATATATTCATGGTTTTTTCTGTCTTAAGAGAGATAATTAGTCGATTTTATTCTCTTTAATGATATCAGAATATATACCCACGCATGTATTTCCATGAGCTATCATAATCCCAGCTATTCAGTTTTAGGCAATGCTTTGAAGTGACTTTTCAGGTCACAAAAAAGAAGCATGTCATCGTATTTTGAGCTCCGGCTAAGCAGATAGGGCTTAAATAAATAACCAACCTCTGAGGCGGATGAGAGCAAAGGTTTCCTTCTCGACCTCCTGCACTTGGTAAGTTTCCTCATCACCAACAATGAGAATTTCCAAGGTGCTATTACTTCGCATGAACGACTTACAAAGTAGAACGGCCTTTGCGTATTTACTGATGGAAATCTTGCACTTTTGCAGGATTTTCTCTTTTTCCTTGTCAGACGGAGGAGGTACCTTCTCTACTTGCTTCCATCCTCCTATCTCGTTCTTCACTCCGTGGTAGAAGAACAAGGCAGTGACGCTGGTTTTTGATTCAGTTATAAGCTGTGATCATAGAGATAGACCCTCCTTAGTAAACTTCCATGCATCAAAGGAAAGATTGTTTAACGACCATCACAATATTTACTCACCTTTATTAGATTGTCACGCCTTCCTTTCATTGCATCCAACGTCCGCTGAACCTTCTCCTCAGAGTAAACGCCTAGATATGAAATAAAGGAATTTTAGGCCATGCAGCCGCGTGAAAAGGAATTGTGAGGATCTCCCTGTCCATCCTTCATCTCACTATATCTGTCAGCTTCCTTGTCTTTCTTTACCTCTTTCAGACATCCCATTATAACTACCACAAAGGCAAAAACACTAAACCAAGAATGGACTTTAGGACAGTATGAACGGATGGTCAGGGCGTTGGGCTTGTAATCTGGTGGTTGCAGGTCAAAGCCCTCCTCTCAGCTACTCCCTGAAATCTTTCCCACTTGCCTGGACCTCAACTCCTTAGCTGTGCTTTTCATAAAGCACCTCGTCTGCCTCCTATCAGATGGTCACGTTCATTCATTTTTTCACTCATTATTCACTCATTTACTC